TCCCTTGTCATTTCTAATCATATCCTACACTCCTTCCCACCTCTCAAAACCTAGTCTTTTATATGTTCTGTTTGTTTAATCAAGTCAAAACCTCTTGCCCATGTTTCAACAAGGTTCAGGGAACACAGACTGACTCCTTGCCAGGATCCTAGCAAGCCCTGTCTCGGTCATTAGCAGAAATAATTACAGCTGTTTTTAGGCCGCTCCATACAAATTCTGCTTTAATTCTGGCTTTTAGCCTGGCTTCGCTTGTACATATTTTCTTAGTAGTCAACCCCTTTTTATGGATAAGAAAAGACAAGAGTCAACAACTGCTTGGTTGCTCTATGGTGAGTCCAATATGTGACCCAGATGACAGCATATTTTCTTTAAATGGGATGCATGGGAAACTTTCAAAGAAATATTTGGATAAATTCCCAGAAGACAGATCAACTGAGGATGTGAGACATCCTGCTGCAGGAACTGATGTTTTCTCTCAGAGGAAAGGACGCAGAGGAGAGTCATCATCACAGCACCGGTCTGACAAGAAAGAGGCAATGACTAGTTAAGGCAGATGGGACTCCTGGTGCAATAGGTGATAAGAACACAAAGTAGTTGTGACTGTTCATGATAGATCAACTTACACAGAAATGTACAGCTGGCCTTGCACAATTGCAGTCAAGATTTCTAGATCAAACTACCTTATTCCAAACACATGTGCAATATCTCATTTATCCTTCCTGTCTCAGAGTTCTTACCACTGAGCTCATTCTCTGGGGGCACTCTCAGAATTTGTGCCAAGCCCAAGAAAAGCTCATTTTAACCACTGTATCCAAAAGTTTGAAAAGGTCAGAAAAACATGATGAGTCGTTTCACCAAAAATACATAAAAGTCCTCATTGATTACAATGTGCTCATATACAGCTGGATTAAGAGGATCTGGTAAACTGCCTGAGGATGCAAAAGTATGAGTGAATGGCTGGTAACCTGTTCTTTTGTTTTTTCTGACTTGACCCCATGAGAGAATCAACAACCTTGTACCATGAGACAAGATTTAAAAGAAATATGTACTAACAGAGTAGCACTTTATCTAAGAGCTCAAAGCTAGCTAATCTTTCTCAGACCCATGTTCAGCATGATGCTCCCCTAACCCTACAGTACCAACTAATCTCACTTCTATGTCGGGAGGCTGTATGCTCTTCAGACATACCGTCCTTCCCACAGTGCTACAGCTTTAAGAGAAGAAATTATGCTTACCTTGCTATTCTTCCTCCCGTCAGATCCCCAGTGCTTTCTCACATATTTTGTAAAAATTCTACATTTAATTCTTTAAAACAGAGGACTTTTTCATTACTATATGGAATTTATAAAATATTGAAATAGAAAAGAACTGCTAATATTGAAAAACCTCTCTTATTATTCATAAATACTATTTCAAGATTTAGATAAACCTAAACTCTTATCAGGACATTTGCATTCAGCATAACAATATTTATATACTGAAAAATATAAAGATAGATTTTTTTCCCCTTTGGGGTAGTCAATCCAGAAGAAACGTGCCACTTCTCAGGAGTTAGGTGATTATTGCATGTGGGTCAGAGAATACAGCAATGAGAGGTACAGCAATGGTTTCATTTCTATCATTTGTAACTTTGCCTGTCACTGTACAGAGGAGCTGACCATATTAGCTGTTCTATTCCTCCCCTGTTGTCACAGGGATGTAAAGACCCTACCACTAGCTATAGAAAGCAGTACATTTTACCTCGGCTTCCTCCCTAGATTCTCAGAGTGCCTGAAAGAATTCTGAAGGTGAAATGTCATTTTTAGATAATGTTTGGGGCAGATGGGGCAGGGATATAGGGTAGAATCCTTCTCAATCCTGCTCTTCTCTCAAAATTTAAAATTCATGAAAGTGCCTCTGAATACAGCCATTCTCATTGTTCTAGCTTCTCTCCTTTTGAGCATAAGAGCCTGTCTTAGCTAGTACTTTGTCACTGAGGCACAATACCTGACGCCCACAATCCTAGGGAAGCAAGGTTTATTTTGGCTCACAGTCCATAGTCCTGGCTGGCTCCAAGGCAGGGAGGCGTGGCAGAGAAGAATTGTAGAGGAGAAACAGCTCATGGCAAGGCAGCAGAAAGTAGACTTGAAAACAAGGGGAGAGGGAAAGAAATAGACCCGTCCCGGCCATGCCCCCAGTAATCCACCTCCTCCAAGCAAGCTTTACTTTCCGATATCACTGAGCTATGAAGTCAAGTGGATGAATCTACTGCTAAGTATCATGCTCCCATGATTCATCACCTCCTCAAAGCCCCACCAATGAGAGCATGAGGCTTTGGGCAGACATCTAGATATAAACTGTAACAAAATCCTTGATTTACTTATGTGTTCTTCCAAAGCGCGGGCTGCCAAAGTCAGGGACCAAGTTAAAGCTTCTCCACATAGCCTATGATACCATGGCCATTACCCTGCATCACACAGACTTAGCACTTCTTATCCATAGTGCAGTTTTTAATCACTATTTTAGCATTGGACAAAGGTGGCTGTGTAAATAGTGGCTGTGTCTTTTATAATTTTCTTTTAGAAAAATAAATTGATCAGAGTCCCTAAGAGAATTTTGAAAGTACTGAACATACCCCAAGGCTCCGAGGATCCTGTTTTCAAACAGATCACAATGTAGTAGAGAAACTGGGCACAGATATAAGAAATCAAACAGTATATTTCTCTTACAAAGTCTGTCCTGCAATGTCCAAAATTTCTATTCACTTTCCGTTATGGGCCCAGGTCATGTGTATAGTATTTAAAAAGTTGAGAAGGGTCATTCATCTTTGTCTTCACTATGATGCAAATAGGAGCGTATATACCATCATAAAATGAAGAAGAAATAAAAGAAACATCTATTTGATGTCTTCACAGGATTGCTGAATGCACTACGACAAATTCAGCAGTCATTTTTTCTCCACTGTAAGTAATAAGGGCTGTCATCATAGAGTGTGATTTGCTAGAAGCGAATTAGAATAAAATAATCACATTTAAAAATTATGTAGTTGAGGTTACTCAAAGTTAATACAGTTTGAATGAACTTGATAAAAACTTGGATTATCAAGCATGGAAGTCACTTTTTTTCAAGTCATCCCTGGGAATTATATATACTTCCCTCAGTACTGGTGATTGAATCCAAGGCCTTTGCAACATCCCAGCCCTAATTTTTTGTTTGGTTGGTTGGTTTGTGACAGGGATTAAGTCACTAAATTGCCCAGGCTGAGCTTGAATTTTGTATTGTCCTGCCTCAGATGCCCAGACTGCTAGGATAAGACATGTGCCACCACACCCAGCAATAACTATAATCTTAACAGATCATCTAGTTTATACTCTTACTGTATAGATGAGGAGACTGACTCTAAAGTGGTTAAGTAACTACCTCCACTGGCACAAGTAATTACTTCTGTTGGAAAAATGGGTTATCTGTTCATGGATTTGGGAGAGAACATCCCTTTGTAAACGTTCAAAGACATTAAAATTTGAGTATTTCCAAGTTTTTAACATTATAATGTTAAGATAGATAGATGTATAACGATTTTCATTTTATTCCTTTGGGAGGTCTCTGAACAGAGTTCCTTCTTCTTCTTCTTTTTTTTTTTTTTTAAATAGGGATGTGATCGCCATAGCAACTAAGAGAAATAAATCTTGCCTAATTGAATCACTGTGCTGGAAATGATATCCGGGTAGAGACTGAGTTAAACAAGGTAGAGTCGGGAGAGTAAGGAGTGGATGAGGATGATAAAAATATTAAAGCCCCCTCCCTCAATTCCTGGTTTTAGATTTCTCCCCTTATTTTACACAGTACGTTGTTACTCTTCAAACGCAAACCGCAGGGGGAAGCAGGTGGAGTCGAAGGGGAGTGGACCTGCAGCTGTTATGCAGTAAAACACTGGCTTTGAGTACAGGGATGGTCCCTTTAACATGGGATTTAGTATAATATTTTATTGGAGAGGCGGATGGTATTGGGAGGACCAGCATCAAATTTAAGCCGCTTAGTTAAGCCTTGTCTCACATGGGCTCGGCCTGCAGCCTTTCCTAACCTTCAGGGTAGAGAGCTCAAGGGACTTGAGGGTGTGAGACCTGACCCTTCCTTCCCCTAGGCCAGGCACGAGTTACGTAAAAATCCACTCTGGGGTGCACACGTGAGAAGGCGGGGCCCGGCGCACACCCGGCACAGCAGACTCCCTCGCGGGGACCGCTCGAAGCCCCCACCCCGCGTCCCAGGCACACAGCCCC